TCAAAGGTTGGTTTTAACTAAATGAATATCTTTGTCCGAGGATGAATCAGAGCAAAGGTCCTTGTAAAATGGGCATCGTTTCTTACATTTTGTGAAACCAATCTAGTGTTGTTCTCTGTTGCTCATTTAACATCGGTCGTAGTTCACATTATGCATTTTTTAAAGGACAGAGACAAGTAAGACAATGTAATCACATTATCAAAGATGCTCATTTTTATCCAATGAGGTATCTGCATTGCTGTTTCTTCCTTCCTCAGGTGTGTCACATCTCCATGGATACACAGTTGATGAGAATCCCAAGGTGGGAAAGAAGTTCTCCATTGGTCTTATTCCACCAGAGACGCGGATGAGATCATTTTATTTCTGTGCTGAAAAGGCGTTTGATAAGGAGAGGTAGGGATAATAGTGATTTCTATCTGAATGGGAAAAGTATGACTTCTTTGCATTTCCTCAAATGGTGCTTCTTGTGGTGCAAATTTCAAAACTGTTTATTGCACTCATTCTGGTCTGCGTGTAAACTACATGTATATTTATTTTGTAAAAAAATCTACAACACAGCACATAAACTTTCTCACTGTTCCGTCTTTCCATCACTTTCACTTTCACTTTCACTTCAATAATTTGATGCTCGTCTTACATATAATCTGACCTCGGTTTCAGATGGGTTGCGGCACTGAGGACTTCCATAGGCAGATGGGTGAAGGCAGACTGAAGATGGCAAAAAATAAGCTGAAAAAAGCAAAAAAAAAAAAAAAAAAAAACAGCATGAAGTTTGAAAAAAATGGCTCTACCTGTATTTTATGAATATTCATCAGTCTCGTAAGTTTGAAGACAAAAAGTAACACTATTTTGCTCTTATTGGGTTATCACTGAGAGTACAAGGCAACGATGGGGACAGTGATGGTAGATGCAGGTGACGGCTATATGTACAGACAAATCTGCATCTGTACATAAAAAGTAATGAATGGAGTCACTAAAATAAATGCGCCTGATCATAGTGCATATATAAAATGAGTTGCATAATTGTAACTACTGTACAGTCATATGGTGTGGTATGATATGTAATATGCCATTTATCAAACATTATTCTTTCACACTGGACAACATCAAAACATATAAAGGAAACTCTCCGTTTTCTGTGAAAAGTGAGTGACTTTGTAATTGATAATCTTTCACAAAAAAAAATTACGTAATACTAAGCCAATTATTAAGATAGATAGTGGCATTTATTGTTTTGTTTTATCATTTAATCATTGTGATATGTGTTACTAGTTTCAGTAAAGACATATTTGTGACAATATCACCCTTCAAAAGTGGGTTGCCGCTCTGAACTTAGCAGACTTAATTATGTACCATATCCAAATAACATCAGATAAGGACAGTGAGTATACAGTGAACTGGAAAAATATATAATCCTCTATTTAATTATAGTTGACACAGAAGATCATCAGACTGGTGAAAGATGCACTGATGTCACCATATCATTTATAATTGAAAGAGGGGGTGAAGCTATATGTTATTGGTGATGTCATTAAGGGGATAATAACTCTTCATATGAGATCTATATTTCACAAAAAAAAACATTGTGAATAACTCATAGAAATATAATATATTATGTTTTACGACAAAAACAGCAGTTATAGCTATTATTCTGATATCTGAGCTTGTCTTCAGATCACGTGACCTCCATTGATGGCTATACTCTGTTATAATCTCTTAAGAGATTTTAACAAAAAACCAAACTTTTTAGAAAAAAAACAGGGACCAACTTTGAATGTAAAAATGGATTCATTAACCATTGGTAAGTATGGGAAAATTGCTGTTTACTCCAGAAAAATTCATTTTTTGGCCAAAACAAAAAGTTATTATCCCTTTAAGTCTTTTTTCTGTAGAAGTGAGTCAGGGTTTGAACATAGATTCCTTCAATCATTCTAGTGATACAGTTTGTACTGGTACACTGTGAGAGAACCTTATAACTTGTGATTATGTTAGTAAGGCTATTAACTTTAGTTAGTCTGTCATATATTGCAATCATAGGGCTTAGATAGATTGTGTTAAGTGTAAACTAAACTTGCCTTACTGCTCCATCTATAACTTGGTTCCCATACCTAGATCAATCCATGTGGATTGTTCTAACTCCAGACATATGAGCCGGCTAAGTTGATAGCAATTTAGTGAGACTCTCAGGGAGATAGATCAATCCAAATACCTGTGGGAATGGTCCCTATAGTACACTGTGTGAGATGGAGCACATTCAGAACAGATCCATCAACTTAATATGGCCTTCTCACTTAAAAGCAATGCTGCTTAATCCTCTGATGGCCTCCCTGCCTCCACACGCGCCATTAAACAGGTTAAATCTCAGCTCTAAGGTTAAATTGCAAGGTACCTGCAGTGACGGCACTTGTGCAGGCAGGGAGGCCATCAGTGCAGGGAATTAGTCTGCGCTGTTTTTAAGTTAGTCGATCATATTTCATCTGGGGATCAGTTTGTCTTCTACTGAATACCCTTGATGAATTTGCAAAAACATTCCAGTTATTTCATAAATCTACATATAACATATTTATTTTTTTGTGATATAGAAATGGTCTCTGTGTG